GTTTCATGTCCCAGGACACGGCTTTTTTTTCTGCAGGGGTCGATAAATCGCTGGAGCTGAAGACAGTGTCCACTTTGCCGCTTATTGCCTGGGTAGGACGTGTGCAAAATGACTTATGAGTAAGAGCCTCTTTCTTTGCATGTGTGTGCTTTTTTCCCCCCACATTTACTAATGACATTAGCACACCATGATGCAGTCAAACGAGTGAAACATGGAGTGGATTGTGCATTGTGACAACCGCATACTAATGTGTGTGATGTGATACAGTGGCGTGAGGGGGCAGAGCTGTGCCGACAGGATGAGGAGGAGGGAGGGAGTTAGGGAGGGAGGGAGGAAAAGAGCAAACAGCGATTCTGTCCTCTCCTGCTGTGCACTGCAACCGCCTCATCTTAAATACAACAATATAAAAACACAAGCACATCTACTACATATCGTCCCTGTGCAGTCCAAACAAATGTAAACATCATCTTTCAGCAGAAAACTGGATTTCTCCTATTTACTTATTCATCTTTATTTCATGGAAGAGGTAGCTTTAGTAACAAATGGCTTTTCATCCGGCACAGAAGGACTTCACGTAAAGCTGAAAAGGATTAGTCGATTGGTCAATTAGCCAATTAGTTGATAAACAAAAAACCTACTGTGAAACTACAATATTTTAAAAAGAAAATGTATCATTTGGGTTTTATTTCAAATTAAAATTCCCAACATTCTCTGGCTCTGGATTTGTTGCTTTTCCGTACATTATATAATATCATCTTTAGGTCTTTTGATCAGATGAAGAAGCATATTGAAAACATCATCTTGGACTTTAGGAAATCGTGATGATTACTTTCACTTCTTTCTGACATTTCCATGATTTTAAACTGATTACAAAATAAATAGTTAGTTGCAGTCCCAAATTCGGTTGTGTGTTCAGTAATCAGCCTTAGCTCTAAATAGAGAGGGCCGATTGGCCAAATATATTGGCTATCGACGCTTGGCTGAATACTTTGGATCTTTGTCTCTTTTTCGAGCATATTTTCACATGTAAATCAGGCAATTAAGGGTTTAGTTTGAACACATTACTGTCTGTGATTGTTGGAACAGTGAAAATAATAACCAATATGTTTTTGGTGAATAAATCAGCAATTGGCAGTCGTTGGGCTTACAACATATCACCCAGCACTAGCTCTATATGCATGGTTTCATTCTTTTACTTTATTTATTCTTATTTTTTTCCTATTTTTATTTGTATCATTTATGATCATACAAAGTAATTGGCTGGGAGGCGTAATTCTAGGTGGCTGCCTCTGTATGGTCACAACTTTTCCTTTACAATCTGCTCTATATGCCTAATTTCTATGACAGAGTGCAATTTGTGTCAATAGTTTGTGACTTGTGCATTTTCTTTCCAGCAATGTAAATGAGTAAATATACAACAAACAAGAACCCCAGTTATACAGCAGCTACAGTACTGTTAGCCAAAATGGCTACACTGTAGCAACAGTACTGCTGAGCCGAGGTCGCTCGCACTCCACGACCCGGATCCCCTGAGCCCAGCGCACACACACACACACACACACTAACAGCTCCGATCAGGCGTGAACTAGGACAGTGAAGCGCGAGGGAGTTGAAGGTTAGAGTGTTGGTTAGCTGAGGACAGTAAAGATAAGCGGTAGGAAGGAGGGGGGGGGGGGGCGGAATAACAGGACAGAGGATGGCGCAGGCTTATGCAGTAGATAAACTGTGAGAAACACACGGTCAAGAGATGGGAACATGAGGCCTCAACACAAAGGATGGAGGATGTACTTTTGATTAGATTGATGGTTTTTGCAATAAGTTGGTCACAGATAATATGAAGGATGTAGGTTTGGTTTCTGAGACACAATGAAGTTAGAGGTTCTTTAGCCAGACTAAAAAATAAATAGAAAATAAACAATACATTTACTACTTCAATCAATACAAGTTATTGTCTTTGATTGACGTTCAATGCTTCTTTTTTTATGAGAATGCTGAGTAACAAACTGTCACGCTGTAAATCCATCAACAAATTACAGGATGTAGAGCAGTTTCTTTTATGAATGGTGTCTGCAAAGCATCACATCAGTTGCACGAGAGGTGAAACAGAGGGCAAAAAAACACCACGAAAAAGAGGAACAATTGAAGGGAAGCTTATCTTCATTTTCGTTATCGACTGACTAATCTGTATTACGTAAAACGGGTAGCAAGAGAGCACTTAGACATATTTGAATAAGTCACTCAAAAAAGAGGACAATTCAAGCGCGGATGCAGAGTCCTAAAGGAAGAGTGTGCTGCGCGTATGTACATTTGATTGCAGAGGAGCGTGCGACATGAATCACTCCTTTTCCGACCGGGGCTGGAACGCTGACAGAGTGACTGAGACACGAACTACCGATGCCTGATTACAGTGAACACACATCAAAGACGAGATCAATGGGCTTCAACAGGACGTCAATGGACATGCCTGCGGCGCATGTTATACCGACGCAGTGAGGAACTCTCCGGCCATTATAAAACACAATGGATGGCCTGATGTGGTGTCCGTGCATACCTGATCTGAGACTGTGGGGCTATTGTCTGGGCATTGAGACCTCCACGCTGGGGGGGAACCACAGCTTGACAAGATCCATTAAAACACTTTCTAGAACAGTTTCCTTTATGCGTTATGTAAGCACTTTGCAACGTGTTTTGAAATGACATCATCGTACCCGTGGACTCGGAGGGCCTCTCTATATGGTACACTACTTGCATGGACGGTATGGCATGTGTTTGAATGAGTTATAGGAGTTCTCAGGCCTGTACGTGGTTGACAGGGGGCTTTGAAGCGTGACAGAAGAGATCCGTCAGGTCCTTGAGACCTTTGAATGCCGCTGACCTTGCCCTGAGCAGAATTACCAAAGACGCGGCTGATGGGACCCTTTAGAAAGGCCAACTGGGGTCAGTGAGCATCCATGTTGTGGAAGTGCTCTGCTTGATATCAGCACCCTGTTCATGTTAGATCATACGGCACATGACCGTACACACGTGTGAATCCTGTAGCGAAAGCTTTAAGAGACACACCATTGTTCAAAGCACCACCCTGTGAACCCCAAAACCCACCGGCGGGATTGAAAAGCATGTTTTCTTCAGACAATCGCCAAAAGGACACCGTTTATGACAGCAAGAAGCTATAAAAACACCTTTAGATTCAGATCTTCCTCTTTCTGCACACCTTCGTACATCATGTCTATGAATCTCAAAACTTTGATAAATATCAAAGGCATGGCGGCTGTGTTATACTGCCCAAAATGCCTTTTTGAATTCTCTGTTTACTTCTAGCCATGATTGTGCTGTTTCTACAGAGGTGCTTGACTTCTATGTAGCCGTGAAGATCATGGCCACAGAGAGTAAAATGTGACAAGAGCAAAACAACTCCCAGGAACAGCTTGGGGTTCAGAGAGTTAAGCAATGTGTTAGACTGAATATGCTTTACTGTCAACGCCACTGAAAATCAACGCCTAACTCCGCAGCTCTTTTTATTTTCTGATCCATATATTTGCACCGTCGACTCCTAACAGATGTCTCCAACCACAGGAAGCCGCTCACAGCATACAAGCTCAATCAAGGCAATTGCACCTTAGTGAAGGGAGTGAAACATGCAGCAACCTAAGAGACACTTTCTGAGCAAGTTACAGGGAAGAACCACGGCTAGAAGACGAGTGAATAATGGACTTGCATTCATGTTTTTTTAGTATTTATTTGAAGTTATTACTGTAGTGGTTGTACAAATTAAAATCACACAGAAGGGGGTGCACCTCTTACACCCTCATCTTACATTTAAAATGATTTTTAAAATGCAAGAAAATTAAGTTTGTCAGTCATTAAAGTATTACCGATGACTAATTATCATGATAATAATCTATGTTGAGATCATTTTGGCTTTGCAATCCCTGTGCTGACACTTGTAGTTCAGTGTACCATTGAATTGCTTTAAATAAATGTTTCCATATTTTCAGACCAGGAGCCAAACGTGACCTCACTTAATAAAGTCGTACTCTGTACCGATCCCCCATAATGCCGTTGTGTTCTCACGTTCACCCCCAAAGCAGGGCAAGAGAGGTCAGAGTAACTCTAGGCGCTGAAAGGAATTCTGTGTTTTGCTCAAGGACACTTCAGTAGTCAGGTGCTCGAGCCTCAGTTGAAGGACAGTTTGTCGCCCACTGTGGAATCTCTTTTGTGATATCCTTAGATTCATACCCATCTGAGAATCTGAACTTTAATATGAAATGTACTTGTTAATTAATATTCAGATTACTGGGATTAAAGTGTCTCAGGATCAGAAAGAGGGATTCATGCTAATGTCAAATGAGCCTCGACTTTGACGCCTCTCAGCAAAGCGGTCGGCGTGGACGGGCCGTGAATCAGCCGTCAGTCAGCAGGTTGTGTTGTCTTTATTAATGGCGAGGGACCTGTGCTCTGTCTCCCTCTGTCACTCACCCTCACTCTTCCCTTCACTTCCTGGCGTGGCTCCTAATGGGCGCGCTACATCTACTCATTACTCAGATGGATGAAATGGCTTTTTATGTGGCGCCGGTGAGCCACCGCGCTCCGAGCGGATTGAGCACATGAAGAGAAATCAGGAGCCCATTCCGGGCTTGATAAAGCAGTGCGAGGGATTCTCTCAGCATCACCATTATGCCTGAGAAATGACTGGCCCCTGCATACAATGTAGTACTCAGACTCAGAGAGCACTGTAATAGATTTTGCGCGACGGATGGAAATGTGTTGTGCAGTTATTTTGTTCCCTGAAAGACAACAGTGGCTAAAAGATGCAGCTAATTGCGTAAAAATGTAAATTGACTTATAAATGAGCAGCAGATGTTAACGGCCACCTCCATCTTAATACAGGCCTACAAGCGTATGTGAAATGCGTTCATCCAAACGGTTTCTTTGCTGCCGATCCCCTCGAGTGCTTCGGCTGTTCAAATGATGAATGAGAGAGTTACAAATGAGACACATACCTGATGCCTTTGATTTGTGCGATGCTGTGGTGGGAGATCCGTGACAGAGCGGAGATTACCTGAAATAAACAGAGAGATAAACAGACATGTCAAAATGTAATTCTGTATTGGTCATCCTTTTATTCAAAACAATGTATTTCAGGTTGCTTCTGCCTGTTTTATTGATAATCTTATCTAATTTCGAATGCACACTCCGGGATTACTACACTTTCAGACAAAACAAACAAAATAGTAAAAAAATTATTTAAAAAAACAGTCAGCAACAAAGTAATACAAAGTTAAGCACACAAAGGCAGCAATCAATTCTAACAGTAACTAAAAAATAAACCATCATAAATCAGCAGTAGTCAGTAGAGGTTCTTGGGGGCCCCTCCTATTCAACCTTTACTTGCTTCCACTTGGTAACATTCTGCAGAACCATAAGGTTGCTTATTATTCCTATGCAGATCACCCAGATCTATCTAGCTCTCTCACCAGATGACTTTGGTCCTCCAGACTCGCAGAGGCCTCGAGAATGCAACAACATTTTCCTCAGTTAAACAACGGAAAAAAACGAAATAATTATTTTCAGGCAATAAAAAATAAACACTGTAAAAGAAACTAAAAGTAACAAAACGATGACAAGTAATATATTCCAGAGGGAGAGCCATTATCAAGCTGCTTTATATGTGCTACCAGTTAAAAGAAGAAAATGCTCATTTCAGTTGAACACTCACCGTTCTTCAAGGAGCCTTTATTGAACAGTACATTTCTTCCTCAACCCCTCCCAGGCGTATAACGTACCACAAAGGCCTGTGTGACAACATATTGCAGGCCACCATGCTAATTGTGACATTCAAAGACATGCGGAGCAGTCACAGATGGACGGGTACCAATTTGGTTATATTACACACCAACAAATGGCCACTAATTTCCCCTATTGTACTTGTTTTCTATAGTTTGTTAACCTCCATACTTTCCCGTTCTCCTTTTGTTTTTAGTAGAAGAAGGTCAAATGTGCTTTGATTTACGGATTTAACGCCGCTCGTGAGTCACACGCAAGTGGGCTTATGGCTGTGGACTATAGACGGTGTGCTTTGCAGGGTCTACAGAGGCTAGTTCAGGAAGATGAGGAAACCACCATCGCACTCACACTCACTCACACACAATCCCCCGTCTCCTACGCCTCATTACCCACTTCCTGGGGTGTATTTGGGCTTGCGACGCCGTGGCAATGCCAGATGTCCCCCTGACAGGGCGGAGCAAATTGTTATCTCAACCCTCTCGTCCTCAGCAGGTGTGTCATCATCTGCAGCCTCTCGTCAAACTCCCTCTTGTCTAAACACACAATGCGCACATCTCCGCTCTTACGGCACTCCACATTGAAGAAGAGCTGATGGCCGGTGGGAAGAGCACACCACCACTTTGGGACTGCGGGATACTTGCGTTGAAGCGCTTTTGACCAAAACCTTTTAACTCTCTCTATTCATGCCGATCTCATGTTTAACATAAAGAGTTGTGTGAGAGTGGAGGGATTACGTGGGGCGCTGCTATGGAGTACTATGCATACATCACATTCATTTACATCTGACCACTCAACTGGGGGGACTTCGACGGGGCTATTGCTCACCAGGATGATGAGAGGTTATCCCTCTGTGTCGCTAAAGACCCGTGTAATGGACAGTCATGTTCACGCTTTAGGGGCCGGTCTACCATTTCACTCCTCCTTGACATGTATCATGTAACATGTAACTGACTTTTTGAGATAGAGAACAAAAAGGAAAGAGAGACAGACAAAGAGGGAGAGGCGAGCAGAGGAGAGGAGATTGCTAATTTAGCTCAATGTCTGTTTAGCCAATGGTTAGTGTGTTTAATAAATCACTGCGGGTAAAGCCATTGTGCAGCTGGGTGGCATGCTGCCCACGTGGCCACGCTGCAGGGAGGATTCGCTTATGGCACACTGCCCCAGTATCATTAGCTCCATCTTTTTTGGTCTTATTAGCCTACATTGTCTTTGTGGAAGGGTAACAGACGGCATAAATCAAATCATAAAACATAAGAAAAAAATTAATAAAACGTGAACAGCTGGCTGGACGGATGGATACAGTAGGTGGATAAATTCAGAATTTAATCGCAATCAATATTTAATGCGAGTAGTGAGATCAGCTGGTTTCAGCCAGGTTCGTCCGGGTTCAAAGGAAAAGCCGAGCTGTTGGCCTCGAGCCAGAGAGGTCACAGCGGGGCCTAAGCGTGCACGGCCTGGGGAGACAAGCCATCAACGTGCCAACACTGAGCATGCTAGCGTGACGTGCACACATCACTCAGTGAAGTCTATTAGTATTGAACCTCCAAGTTTCCTGAACATTAAGGAATTTGTTCTTGTTTTTTAGTTCATGTTAAGAGTCGCACGCCATGAAAAGCTATGTCTCAATGCTGGGAGTGCTGTTCGTGACGCCCTCTCGCTTGGAAGAGGAAATGCTAATTTGCAATCTGTTTTCAAGGCAGCCGAGGAAGTAAAAGATCTGCTCTCGCATTGTGACAAGTTGATAACAGCATTTCATATTTATGCTATTGTGTGTAGAGCTATTTCGCTACAGACAAAACACAGGAACAGAGGCTATAATTTGATTTCATTAAACCACATGAAGGAGTACTCCACCAAAGAGCGAAATAGAAGTGCCGCCTTTCGGGCCTAGAGGGGGCGAGTGATACGCAGATCACAAGAAGATCTTCAGCGGAGTATCCCTTTAAGTGCTGACCTTTTTTTTGTGGAGTCTGCATCTTTTATCGGTTTCAAAATGCCACTCCTCTGTCTCAAAGGTGGCCTATCTGCCTGATTGTGCTTTCCTCTCTCTCTCTTCACCCTCTTCTCATCCTTTGGTTCGGCCAAAGCCTTTGAGTCTCCACACATTATTAATTTCCCTCTCATCTGGTACTCCCCGGGGGGTCTTAAATCAGGGGGCTGGCCAGAGAATAAAGCTTCTTCCACCCCTCTAGGAATATGGAAAAAGACAAGTCACATGATGGAGTGATAGCTTAGATTTCTAAAGCCCCAAACCAATATCGTATCTTAATCAGCGCTCTGCAGCCCCCGGGCATCCCCTTACCCACATCTGACCCTTTCTGTCAGTCAGGAGGACAGAACTGGAGACACAGGTAAAGTCAGACAGATCCACTGATGCTTGCAGTTTTTGCATGAGACTGACATGCAACATTTACGATCCATTTACTGCATTTACAAGTTTCTACGCACATGTGCAAGTGTGTGTGTGTGTGTGTGTGTGTGTGTGTGTGTGCAGGGAGGAAGATAGCATCTATGGAATAACTGCGAAGCTAAGCGTTTGCAAACACACGCCACCCTTACACGTCTCCAAACTCGCCACATGTGGCCCCAGCTGGGGGCCAAGCGAGGCCTCAGGTGCACACACACACACCCTGCAGCCAATCCGAAGCCCTACAGGCCCACGTTACCCCTGGCAACGGGGCTCGACTGAATATGCACGGTCATCAAATGCGAGTGGAATCAAATGAAACCTGCAGCCATATGCTGTTAACAGTAGGAGGGCGGGGCTGGGATTCCATTATATCTGAAAACATGCAAAAGAGGACTGTTGACAGTTCATCACACACCGCCAATCCTGTTTACATGTGATGCATTCACGGCACGATTACACCTCGCACCGCAGATCAATGCATGTGATGGAAGTCATCCAACAAAGAGGCCGAATTAATGAAAGATTCACCACATTACTGTTATGCTCTCTTTCCCTTTCTCACTCTCTCTCCGGGCTCTTCCTCCAACAACTGGCTCCCTGATAGTGTGAGATATTTATGAAGTATTCACACGTTGATAGGACAGCATTGCTCTGCTTATGCCAGCGTGGTAGGCACGAAGCAAAAGGGACACCGAGTGGGAGAAGCGAGAACAGATGGCTGAGTGGGAACCCTGCGTGCCCAACATCAATAATAGACGGACAGAGGAGGGACGGCTGAGCCCGCCCCCGCGCGCGTGTGTGTGTGTGTGTGTGTGTGTGTGTGTGTGTGTGTGTGTGTGTG